ATACCCGTGGTTGTGGTGGGGATGGATATAGGAACCGTTGATTCGTCGCCAACCAAGTGCCATTGTTTTCTAAGCTATTTAAAATTAACAAAAATAAAAATGTGCACTGTTCTTTTTTGGCCGTGGCATGTGAGAAGATTTTTTATTCGGCATTTCCTTTAATTCTAACTCTGCTCCGAGGGGTATACAATTCTCGGAAATGTATTACAGATGTTAAATGTCGAAAAGAATGTAGAACTTTTTTTAAATTTGTTCATTAATAATGAGTCACATTAAGGTATCGTGAGTGTTTTGAGAAACCACAGAATGTCTTTTTGGCATTCGGAGGTTTGTTAAGGCTTATTTTAACAGTAATTAGGTAATAACAGCGGGAGCTGTTTAAACTTTGAACAGGGTTTGTATGGAAGAGCTAATGCATTTCACGCTTTAGGAAACAAAAGAAATAGCACAACGTCTGTATAGATTCAACACAGGCGATTGTTATTCGGAAATTTGGACTTATTTTAATACTGAGGATTTAAGTAAAATAATCAAGTTGCAACAATTTGCGATGATTATATAATTTGTGGTATTTTGTAATGATATTTGTCATGGAGAATAGAATTAATACTTCCGAATCGATATAATTTGGTTAAACATTTTGAATTGGCTAGTTAATGTTGTATCAAAACGTGGATCTCATTTTTATACTCTTACCATTAAGGTCCAGATATTATATATGACTTGATAGGATTAGACCTAGTTCTGTTCCTCTGTCTAATAGGTGCGTTGGTGCCAACTGACAACACTTTAAGTGTAAGTAATTGGCTCGTTTTTGCTTGTTTATAACCTCCACCATACTATGGTATAGGGTATATTAGCATTGTCATTCAATTTGTAACTTCTCGAAATACTCATGTCCGACCCAATAAAGTATATAGAGGGTGAGATTAAAAGTTAATAAGCAGAAGGTTCGGCCGGGCTGAACTTTGAATACCCTCCACAATTCGGAACGAAATTTTCAAAAAAATAAAATCCGTTAAAAATTCTGTTAAAACGTTAAAAATACCGAATATAGCCGTTGTATTGGGGTCTCTACGACGTGAACCTACATAGGCTTTGTTTTTCATAAGCCATTACCATATTCAAATTCGAAACTTGAAATAAACGATGAATAATGTAGATAAAATCATCAAAATACCGTTATACGAAGACATGGACCTGCATAGACAATTTTCTGTCACAGGCTGTAGCATTCATTAAAAACTTTAAATAAGACGTCTCAAACAATTTTGGTGAGTATTGAACCCAAAATCGTCAAAATACCGAATATAGGGAGGAAATGATATATGGGGCCTTTACGAAGACCTGGACCTGCATAGACAATTTTCTGCAACAGACTGCAGTTCCCATTACGAACTCTAAATATGTAATTTGAAACTACTGCCGTGAATAATGACGCTAAAATCATCAAAATACCGAATATTGGGAGGTACCGTTATATAGGGGCTATATGAAAATGTGGACCTACATGGCCCATGCCTACTGGCAAACTAAACATGTGTGCACAATTTAAGCCTTCTATATTATTTTTTCCATAGATAGCGTGACTAGAACAGACAGACGGACATCGCTAAATTGACTTAGAATTTTACTCTGTTGGGTCTGATATAAGTATTTCGAAGAGTTACAAACGGAATGGCAAAGTTAATATACCCTCCATAATATGGTGAAGGGTATAAAAACTGCAACAAAGTCAAACGCCATAATTTTTACATATTTTTTCTAATTTTATTGAACGAAAGCAAAACATTTCGGAAATAGCATCAAATTTTAGAATAAGTTTAGATTTGTTCGAATTGGTCACCTTTGGCACAAATTGTGGCCTTTAAACGGCCAATCAAACCGTCACATGCTGCCCGAATGTTGATCTGCGGTATTTTGGCCGATTCCCGGCGAAGCGCTTGCTTGAGGTGATCGACTCATTGCTATTTTTTAATGCCAATCTTGCTTTCCAAAATACTCCAGGCACAATAGTCCAACGGATTGGTATCCGAAGATTCTGGTGGCCATTGTGCACTGGAAATGAAGCGAGGAATCTCATTTTGTAACCATTCTTGGGTGGCTCGTGCTGAGTGCGATGGCGCTGCTGGAATGTCCAAAATCTGCGGCCAAAATTTTTTCGTGCCCAAGGCTTCAATACACCGTCCAGAATATTTTCGCGATAATATTCCGCATTTTTTCTGATGTAACGGTCGATTAATATGAGCGGAGAGCGACCATCGGCTTTTATGGCGGCCCAACCGAAGGTGCATATTTTCAGCTGACCACTTTGAGAAGTAAACACAATCATTTTGTTTGTTTACAATCTGCTAGACAACGAATGTTTTCTCATCGGAGAAAACTAAATTCGGCAGTTCACCACTTTCGGCCGAGCAAAGCAAATCTTTAGCTCTTTTGAGTCTATTTTCTTTCCGTTGCGGTAAAAATTCTTGCACTTTTTGGAATTTCCGTGGCTTTACACCGAGCTCATTATTCAATATTTGCCGAATGAGCCATTTTTCGGCCACTGCGACGCGGCTTTCGATCAAGTCGCTTCTTTACTTTTCGGACCATTTCTGCTGATGTTGCTGTTTTCTTCCGTCCACTTCCTTGACGTCATGGTAACGAGCGATGACGAGCGAGACACAAAAGATTTATTCACATTTTAATGCTGGAGTGCTCTGACGATAGCCACTTCTGGTTTTCCAGCCAAATATAAAGAAATCACTCTATCACGCTTAAGTTCAGTCACGAATAACTTTTTTTCTGGAAAATTCTCAACAAAATGATTTTGTACGCTTGTAAACAATATAATGAACAGTCGCTGTTGAACGAGTGGCTTAGAAATGACAGCAGTCTGAATCTTGGTTGCAGTTTTTTCATCTCACCCTGTATTCTTAGAAAAGTCCACGTTTGAGGATGCCAATACAATATTCTCATAAAAATTCACGTTTAAATCCATGTTAAGAATCTCAACATTTAAAAGTCACGTTCAAAATATTATTCTTAGAACCAGTAAAGAAAGTCCTAAAGTCGGGCGGTTCCGACTTTATGATACCTTACACCACTTTGCTAATTTAGTAGAGCTCCACATAACAATTAAAAGTTTTTATGGGAGAATTCAATCATACACGCTATGATTATAATTATTATTTAAAGTTCAAAGGACTAAATATGCTGAAGTATTTGTATCTTTTAAGTTCGGACTTGTATTGCCCATTTGGTGCAAAATTCATTTGAAATCAGATAACGATATATATGGGAGCTATATCCAAATCTGAACCGATCTCGATAAAATTTGGCAAAGATATTTCAGAGCTGTATTTTATATATTTCCCTGAATATCGTTGTTACGGAGTGCATAATAATAATTGTGGCCTATAGAGCAACACAATTTCTGTTTTTGTCCATTTCAACCTCAAATATTTTGCGATCTTTTCCAAAAACAATAGGGCTCTAACTCTAACTAAAAACTCTTTGGGATGATTTCTTCACTGACCAAAACTAGTTTGCATTATTATCTTATAATATTTTGAGGCCGATTTTTATTAATGGTTGGGTGCGGTAGGGTGAGGGTCTTAAAAATTCGTAAAAGTCGGACACAAAATATTATCAGACGTTGTGGTGTATGTTCTTCCACTTTTTGGAATTTCAATGGCTTTACCCCGAGCTCATTTTTTAATACCAGATAAAAACGCCATCTGGGAGATCAGATTTTCCAAGGAGATTCCATTGAACCATAATTTTATTTTGATCCATTTTCCTTGATATTTCGGATTTCATTGAACCATAATTTTGGTTTTGATCCATCTTCCTTTATATTTCGGAATTTCTTCAAGCTATCACTCCCCTATATGGAAACCATAAAAAACATGGAAACCATGGATGGTTTCCATGAATCGCCTTTAATGCAAATGCTGTCCTTCGTTCATAAAATCGATTTAACCTTACGAATTTTTATATTTCCCTGAATAGCATTATTTTCCCCTCAAAAATGCCTACACGCAGAGAAAAAATATTTTTCACTATGGTTGCAGAAACCATAACTATTGTTGCCACAACTTTTATATGTTTGTAGCAAACATGTGAATTGCATATTTGAAAATACTATGTTCCCTGCAACCATAATTTCCAAAATTTAAATCGAATTTTTGTAATATGATAAAAATAATTTACAATACCAATGGTCTTCACAATCATGTTGCTAATAAATTTACAATACATTTTGTAGAATTTTAAAATAATATTGTAAATTGTATGCGCTTGAGAGCTGAGCGTGTCAAAACATGTTAGTTTGATTGGAGAGTTCGAAGAAGTACTACGTGCGTAAATTTAAGAGTGATATAAAAGTGAACATTTAAAAGTTTTACTTAATACAATAAATATTAAAGAGTCATAAAATAATGACACATGCTATCTATAAATACAATAAAAATAAAGTGAGTTTATTTCGCGTTCGCTTACAACTATTTTGAATGTGACTTTTTCTGAAAAAGAAAAGTAAAAGTTCTATTTAATGGCAAAAAATAATTAAAAGTACATATATGTAACTAAGTCACTGTAATACAATTAGCTTCAAGGAAAAGTACAACATTGAAAATGTATAAAACACGTGTTTTAAGAAAATTCAAAACATGTGCACTTTTTAATATATATTTGTTTAGTTCGAAAATACATATTTTCAATTTTAACAATATATATTTTCAATTTTAACAATACATATTTTCAAATTTAACAATACATATTTTCAAACTTAACAATACATATTTTCAAATTTAACAATATATATTTTCAAACTAAGAATATATATTGTCCAATTTTAAAATATGTATTTTAAAAAATTACAATATCTTGTTTTGGATTGAAAATATGTATTGTTAAAGTTTACAATATTTTGTGTTGAGTGTTGTGATCCCGTTATATATCGGAGCATTTGCATTAGCTTCTGCATTCACTGCCTCTCGCTAGTTTTTGTTTGGCATTCAGAGAAGACGGATCACAAAAAAAGAAAAAAATGAATTCACGTAAATTGTTGAAAACAACATTCCAAAACAAAAAAGAAATAGTTTCAGTGGTTTTTGATGGAATTAATGACTACGATTTGTTTATAAATAAAGGTAAAAGATGTATAAAAGTGTTAATATTGTGAAAGTTCTAATTAATCATGCAGTGACTAATAAAAAATATTAAGTGAAAAACTCTATAAACAATTTAAAGAATTATGTTAATTATTTGTTTTATACATCTCATATAAAAGTGCAATACTCAAAAAAAAAGAACAGAAAAATGTTCAGTCGTACGCTTTAACACATTTCATGTTTTTGTTTGTTTTGTGTGAATCATCTCATCATGAAAAGGTTGGGTGGTTGAACACACAAAACAAACAAAGCATAGAGAGAAGTAAAGAGATTATCGTTTTGGGGAAAATGTTTTTAGTGCAAAATTGAACGTGAATATTGGGAACATTGAAGGATTTTTAAAATTGACATATTATTTTATTATTAAATAATTTTTAATAAAATATTTAACCATCTTTATTTATTATAGTAAAGGAAACCTATAATATTCCATCAACTGAAGAAGTTCAAATTTTTAACAAGAAATTTTTAATAAAACCAAACATATTCACCGATTTGGTGGAACAGTATCTATCGTCAACGGATTTTATATTGGACGTAAATTTAATAAGTGAGTATCCACAAATTAAATATATTTAAAGTTGTGGTCACGTAATTAGAATATGAACTGTGGTAAGCATTTTTTGAAGTGTTTAAAAAAAAAATAATAATTCTGAGCTCTTAGATATACTAAATTTTTTTTCATCTGTAAACTATTTTCAAAAAAAGCAGTAAAGTAAATATTTCCACGTTATTTTATAAAAACTTTTATTTATTAAAAATTGCATAAAATAATTTTCTATTTTCACACTAAACCTCTTAAGTGCAGTATATCTAAGTGTTCAGAATTATATTATTTTTAAAAAATACTTCAAAGAATGTTCACCACAGTTCATGTTCTAATTAGGTGACCACCACTGTATATGTATGTAAATATAATGTGTAATTTCTAAACTAATTTTCGTTGTAGATGATAATTCTTCTTATTCCACCTCAGACTCGAATGATGAATTGGAATCACAGGCTTCCAGTTCACAAAATATAATATTTGGAAGTACACAGCCTCAGGTTATTAGAACTTTAACATGTATAACCGATGATATTTTTAACCAAAGCCAGGGGAATATTTTTATTGACAAAAATGCTTATCCTTCTGTTCCATCAACGGAGGTATGTAAAAATGTTTCTTAATTTAAAATCTTTTCAGTCATTATTAACCCCTTTTTATTCCCGAAGGAAATAAAAGAATATCCTGAAATTAAGCAATTATTGCAATGTAATAGTCTGCAAAATAAGGATAGAACAATTATAGCAAAGAGTATAGTGTCAAATATCCTGAGCCAAAATGTGAATAGACGGTATGTAAATCCTAAACACTTAACAAGAATCTCTGAATATTCTTTTTCAATTTGCAGTTTATATAAAGATGATTTGTTACAACTTTCCCAATCAATAATAGAAGTATTTCCATCGGAAGTTAGAGAAACTTATTACGTACCCTTTACAAAAGGTCATTTGGCAAAGGGTAAATTGTTTGACGCATACAATAATAAGAGAACACAATTAAGTGCAGCAGGACTGATAAATAGACGTGAAAACGTGGAAAATAAATGTGAGTATGCTTAAATATAAGAATATTTATATGTTTTGAAAAACAATACGTTCATTTAGCAAATCATACGCAATTGTCGGAAGATCACGAAACTGGCATATCAGCAGATGAATTGAAAATTCTTGAAACAACGAATGTAGATTGGAACAAAACAAGAGAACTTTGGATTAAATCTCATTCCTATCGACAAAATGAACTACAAAACAACGAGTTAAGTACTATTGACTATATACAAAAATACAACATTCATCTTAATGAGAACTTTCATGAATTGGTAAGTCTTTGAATTATTAATATTATGTAAATTTCGATTAATATTGTTCATATACTTCTCGCCTAGCTTCAAATCGATTTCAAAATACTGTACCCAAATTCCAAAAGCATTTACCAATGGAAACAATTCTATGGAAAACTAATATTGAAAGCCGAACAATCAAAAGAGAATAGCGTTTTACAAATTTTAGCGAATATCGACAGAACTGAGGACGAAGGTATGTATGAATATAAGAATATGCTATACATAATCATCCACATTTTTTTTTTACAATATATTGCAAAATTGCTCTTTCGTTGATGATTATTCCATTTATTCTACCACACTACAGGAAGAACAGCAAGTTAGAATCGCTGGAATCATTCATTTATTACTGCAAGGTCGGTTCATATATATACTTTTATTCCACAATACCTCATATATTAATAAAAAAATGTATCATCCTAACAGAATATTCAAGTGGCAGATGACATGAATGACATGAAACAAGAAACCGAATAAAACGACTAAAAAAGGATACTCAACCCCAAATTTATTTTGTTGGCGATACGACAAAACCAATTTCCATTGCATACGTGGATATATGTGGAAATCGTTTGAAATTTGAAAATCCTTTAAAAGCTGTTGAAGCCTGCTTTTACTCTTTTATGAGTATGAATATTAAATACCCAACTGCATGCCTACACGTATGGACATTTATACAATATATTATTTATGAAATTAACACTCCATGGGATACGACAATACCTGCTGTAAGTACCTTAATCAATGAGCTTCGTATGGAAAATCTGGAATAGATTTGTTTTTTTAGTTTCGAAGAGAATTATTTTATGTTCGTCCAAAAAAAAAATGAATTATTTTATTATTATTTCATTATATAAGACTTTTATATATAAATTTATATCTACAAATGGATTATATTAAATGTTTTTGTTCATCTCATTTATTTATTTCAATTAATGAATTAATCCGACATATGAGAAGGCATCATAAACATATAACGTCAATATCTTGTTGTTTTCCTAATTGCAATCGCAGATACGATCGGTTTGATTCATATAAGTTTCATTTGCAAAGACATTTTCCTAAAAATGTCTTTAATAACTCTTTGGATAGTTCATCAGAATACTCAAACATAAATAGTGAACCTTTAGGAAGAATTTTCCCCTTAGATACAAATATTGACGATAATAGTTCGCGATCTCAGATAGAATTAGTTACAAATATGAAAACTGATCTATTGAAACAAATTGTGAAAGCTTATTGTAATGAAAGTATTCCTCGAAATAAGTGTTTAGAAATTATAAGAAATGTTGCAAATGGTTTCTTAAAGTACCTGAAAATTCTAAGAAATAAATTAGTAGATAATGTAGTGGAACCTGAAATAATAGCGTTTCTTGAAGATATTATTAATAGTTGTATTATTAAATCAGAATATAAATTACTGAACGAATTTAAGAAAACAGGCTACTTTGTTGAAGCCAAATACCTTTTGCTACATCGTGAGCCTCAAGAGGTTTTAACTACAGGAGGACAAATTACTTTAAAAAATATTGACTACTCCATCGCAATATTATCATTGCAGTCTTTTTTCTTTATACTTTTTAATAAAACTAAATTTTTGACTGAAGTTGTATCTTACATAAGTTGTTTAAAACTACGTGATCCGAATGTTATATATAATTTTGTTCAAAGTAAGCTTTGGCGTGAGAAACTAAATTGTAATGACAAGTCAGATACATTGTTTTTACCCCTTTTCGTATATTTCGATGAATTTGAGCCAGATAACGCATTAGGTTCTCACGCTGGCTTTCAAAAACTTGGTGGGGTTTACATTAAAATTCCTTGTATTCCCGAATATCTTCAGTCAAAATTGTCTCATATGTTTGTAGGAATGCTATTATTTTCTGAAGATAGAAAAAAATTCGGTAACAAACGCGTATTTGAGGCATTTATAAATGAACTTAATAGTTTGCAAGAAATTGGAATAGATATTCATGAAGAAATCTCATTTGAAGGAAATCTTATAAAAAAAATTAAATTAATTTCTTCTCTAATTTTGGGAGACAACCTTGGACTCAATACAATTCTTGGCTTTTCTGAAACATTTTCCAGCAATTTTTACTGTCGTTTTTGTAAACAGCATCGAGAAGTTAACAAAGTGGCAGTTTCTGAAAATAGTGAAATGTTACGAAATCCTCATAATTATAGTTCTGATGTAGGTCTTCTTCTGAAACATTAGTTTTCGTAAGGTGCCTAAATTTAATTATAGGAGATTTAGTGCCTGATTGTCAAGAATGGTCGCTATTTTTGTTATTAAAAAAATAGTTTTTATAGCATGTGAATCAGATTCATTTCAAACTGGTGTTCCTGAACATTTTCAACAGCTAGTGTGCGAACACAACGATTTGTACATGCAACTTACAAAATCAACATTGCAACCAAAATTTCATAACTTGTTACACTATGCAAATATTATGAAACAAATTGGACCTTTGAAACATATTTCTTCAATGAGATTTGAATCTCTTCATAAGGAATTAAAAAAAATATGTAACAGCTCTAATAATAAAATTAATCTCCTGAAAACTATATACACAAAATATGAAGTTAAATTATTTGACTTTTTAATTAACTATTCAGATATTTTAGATGCTAAAATAGAATTAGGTCATTCTGTGGAAATGACCAGCGATACTTTCCGAAAATATAATATTTTGTCTACAGTACCATTGCGTGTCTTATCCAATCTTCAATACAATGAAATTTATTTTAAACCTGGAATGGTTATTCAAATTGGAGAATATGATGATAACATTCCATTATTTGGACTCATTATTCATATTTGTTGTTTCGACGATAGTTTTTTCCTGTGCGTTCAAAGACTTTTAACACATGGATTTGATTCGCACTACCATGCTTTTAGAGTAGAATATGAAAATGTTTTTCTTTCTGTCAATGTATTATATTTAGAATCAAATTATACGGGATATATTTGTACATCCAAAGAAGACTGCTTTTATATAAACTAAATGCAATTCCATTTTCGTAATATTAATAATTGTATACTATATGTTAGATTTAATATGTTAATTTATATTATTACCTGTAAAATTAAATAAAATTTGATTTATAAAACACTATCCAAGATGTTTTTAATAATATACATAATATTAAAAAGGTAGAGTATAAGAAATGGTTGGGGCAAACATATATATTGTAACTTTTTAAAATATATATTTTAAGGCCAAAAAAAAGTTTGGTAAAATCTTACCAATCAAATTATTGGGGCAAACAAGTAAATGGTTGGGGCAAACATATATATTGTAACTTTTTAAAAATATATATTTTCAGGCCAAAAAAAGTTTAGTAAAATCTTACCAATCAAATTATTGGGGCAAACAAGTAAATGGTTGGGGCAAACATATATATTGTAACTTTTTAAAAATATATATTTTCAGGCCAAAAAAAAGTTTGGTAAAGTCTTACCAATCAAATTATTGGGACAAACAAGTAAATGGTTGGGGAAAACATATATATTGTAACTTTTTAAAAATATATATTTTCAGGCCAAAAAAAAGTTTGGTAAAGTCTTACCAATCAAATTATTGGGACAAACAAGTAAATGGTTGGGGAAAACATATATATTGTAACTTCTTAAAATATATATTTTCAGACCAAAAAAAAGTTTAGTAAAATCTTATCAATCAAATGATGGGGACAAACATGTAAATGGTTGCCGAAAACATATATATTGTAACTTTTTAAAAATATATATTTTCAGGCTAAAAGAACGTTTTATAAAATCTTACCAATCAAATGATTGGGACAACCATGAAACTGGTTGGGGCAAACATTTATATGTATACAGTTTACACAGCCTAACCAAAAACATGTTTGCAGCGACAATATTACATAATAGAATCCAACCATATATTTACCATATATATTTTGCTCTTCGAATATTGTTGGCTGAACCATATTTTTTTCTCTGCGTGTAAAGACAAAGTATTCAATGAATTTGCAATTCCTGAATGAATTCAAAATTCTATTTGAAAATTCAAACAAAAATTTGTGTGTCATTTAATTTAACATTCCTCATACAAGACAACAAAACAGTTCCAATAAAAACGCCTTCCTGAAATTCGGGCTCAACATTTATGTGCCCATTTTATAGCCCAACGTCGTAGTCCTCTCCATTGTCTGGTTAACCAAGAAATGATTTGATTTGGTTGAATTGTTGAACAAAAAGACCTTAAGATTTTGTTTTGGCAACAGCAAAGGAAATTCAATGCAAACAGTTACACACACAATCAAAGGACTCCTGCCAAGTGTACAAATGGATTTTGCACACCGCTAGATGCGAAGACAAAGGATTCAAACAAGGAACATCCTGTGGCTGTTGCCACTGCAGCCGAAAAAAGAATACGACAAGACAAAAAGGAAAATCGTTGCGGTAAAATCGAATTATGTTTTAAAATCTAATTTCAAGACAAAAAAGTGGACCCTACAACGAAAACTGCAACCACACAGAAGTCAAAGAGGACCACAGGATGTTTGGTAAGGCATTTTTCATTGTTCACCGTTTTTTTTTTTGCAAAGTCACCAAGAAACACCACATTAAGGACTAAAGAGCAAATCCTTGGGGTTTACACAAAAACTGCAACAATTGTTACCACAAACACACGCACACACACATACACACACACATTGAAAACCATAATGAAGGCAATTTGTGTC